GGATCAGCTTGTCAACACAGTTTTTTTCTTATTGCAAAGCTAAGAGGAAGATGAATGTTTCTTGTAGCACCATCTCTATCAAAATCTCCCTTTCACGCATCCACTCCATTCTTCCATATAATGACCTGAGTCCTGAAGATGTTTTTGTTTGTGTTCCTCTGCCATAAAAATATGGAGTCCCTGGACGTAGGAGTCATTGCTGTTCAAGGGAGGCTTCTCTATATCTCAGTATCTGTTTTCTATGAGCAAGATCTGAAATAAAACCCAGGGTCATTATATAGAAAAATGTTTAGAAAAGAAGTTTTGGTGACAACGTCTAAGTAAAGCAATAGATGACTTGATATGTGAAATTCTTAATTTAAATGTTGTATTAAATAGCTAACACAGTGGTTAATGGCGCATACTGGATGCTCAGTAAACATTTGTTGAATGAATGGTTCCAAACTTTTTTCTTAACGGATCAAAGAAAAAATAAGTCCTCTAGATGCATCCTTTTCCTATGTGATTTCTGTTACTTCCCTCTTCCATTGCTTTCCCCTCACTTCACATCCATACACATTAAGTCCTTATTTTTAAACCAAACATGTTCTAGGAATTTATTTGTGTATGCCAGAGTTATCAAAGAAAGGTCACAACACTTGGTCATTTTCACTCTTGATGGAGAGGTGTGATTCCTCAGGTGGCTTAGCATTGAAGGGACACAGGTGGGACTTGCCCTAGGACTTGTGCAGATATGACTTCTGACTTAGGTGAATGGAATATTCATGTTTAAAGCTTTATAGTTTCATCCATGCCTTCCAAGCTTGGTCTAATTTGTTGTCCTTGCTTACACTGACCTCTTTTCTCTCTTTGTCTGAGCCCTCCCAGTTAGGACCTCGTTCACACGTTCCTCCATTAATCTATCCCAATCATTTCAGTCTACAGTGGTCTCCACTAATAATAATAAATTGCAAATGAAACTATAGTAATACCAATAACACCAACACCACCAGAGACTGGGTTGTGTGAAGTAGTTTATATGCATTATTTCATTGGGTCCTAACATTCAATTCAGTAGATATTTCTAAGATCATTCTCCTTTTACAGATGCAAAAACTGAGCCTCAGAGAATATAACTTGCCCAAAGTCTCAATGTTAGTCAGTGGCATTTGAAGCTGGACTCATCATTTGAACCTGGGTGTGCCTGACTCCAAAACCTCTGCCCTGTGTTCTACTATTCTGCTTCCCTGCACAGTTCCTGGTGGACACTCATTTCACACTTAGCATGCACTGCCTTAAATTCAGTCTTTTTTTTTGCGTTCTGATCCTATTTATTTAAATAAATTGCTAGGCTATTGAGGTCAGGAAATAATTTTATACCATGTTGTAACACCAGGCCTAATGTTGTTGTTGTTAAGTGCCATCGAGTCAGTTCTGATTCACAATGATCCTGTTTAGGGTTTCCAAGGAACAGCTGGTGGATTTGAACTGGCAGCCTTGTGGTTCACAGTCTAGTGGTGATCTTACAGCGCCACACCAGGAGTGCATAGTGCCTTAAAATGTTATGATGTGTTGTTGAGTCTGTTATGATTCATAACAACTCTATGCACAAAACACAGCCCAGTTCTGTGCCAAATGACTCCTTTATTTCCACTGATCTTTAATCAAGTCTCTAAGACAGTATTTAGTTGTCGTTGTTGTTGTTGTTGTTAGGTGCCATCAAGTCAGCACCAACAAATACGGACCCTGTATACAACAGAACGAAACACTGTCCGTCCTGCGCCAACCTCATGTTTGAGCCCATTGCTGTACTTGAACCTATTGCTGCTGCCACTTGGCAATCAAGCTCATTGGGAGTTTTCCTCTTTTACTCCAGCCCTCCACTTTACCAATCATGATGTCCTTCTCCAGTGACTGGTGCTCCTGATAATATCTGAAGTATAAGAGACCAAGTCTGGCCATCCTGGCTTCCAAGGCGCACTCTGTCTGTACTTCTTCCAACATAGATTGGTTTGTTCTTTGGGCAGTCCGTGTTACTTTTAATATTCTCCTCCAACACCAAAACTCACATGCATCTATTTTCCTATGGTCTTCCTTATTCAACATTTACTACCTTGCATTAAAACCAGTTACAGTCATCAGGTTGTCCCATTCGTGTGTGTCAGAGTAGAATGGTGCTCCTTATTTTACGCTTTCAGTGATTGGTTTTCCAGAAGTAGATCACCAGGCCTTTCTACTAGAGCTACCAACCATTCAGTTGACAGCCAAGCATATTAAATGCTTGTACCACCTCGGGACTGCTTACTTTATACTGTTGTTGTGAGTTGCCATCAGGTTAATTCTAACTCTTGGTAACCCTATATGTGCAAAGTAGAACTGTGCTCTTAGGGTTCCAAATGATAAATGTTTGCCTTGTAGTCAAGTGCGTAACTAGTTAGGCCACTCAAGGACTCTTTTTAAGTATTTTAAGTTCTCTTCACTTTCAGGAAGCAAGGTCATATCACCTGTATATCACAGATTGTTAATGAGTCTTCTGCCAATCCCGATACCATGTTCTACCTCATATAATCCAGATTCTGAGATTATTTGCTCAGCATACACACTGAACACCCTTGGAAACCCTGTACAGGGTCGCTATGGGTCGGAACCGACTCGACGGCACTTAACAACAACAACAACAACAACACACTGAATAAATATGGCAAAAAGATACAATCTGGGCACACAACTTTCCTGATTTTAAACCATTCTGCATCCCCTTATTCTTTTTTAACAACTGCCTCTAAGTTTCTGAAATTAAATTCTTTGCAACATTGTCCATAGCTTGTCTTGCTCTACAAAGTCAAAAGCCTTTGCATAGTCAATAAAGCACAGGTATTTTCTGCTTTCAGCCAAGATCCATCTGACCTCGGCAATGATATCCCTCCATCCACATCCTCGTGAATCCAGCTTGAACATCTGGCAGTTCCCTGTCAATGTACTGTCTAAGTCATTTAAAAATTAACTTTAGCAAAATTATACTTGCGTGTGATATTAATGGCATTGCTCAATGATTTCCACAGTCTGTTGGGTCATCTCTCTTGAAATGGGCACAAACATGGGTCTCTTCTAATCCAACTTTTTTGACAGGCAAGTGAATGCCTCCACGGCTGCATCAGTTTGTTGAAAAATTTCAGTCAATTTCTGGAGTCTTTTTTTTTTTTTTTTAAACAATGTCTTCAGTGCAGCTTGGTCTTCTTTTAGTTCCATTGGTTCTTGATCATACGCTCTCTCTGAAATGGTTGAAAATTGACCATTTCTTTTTGGTACAGTGACTTTGTCTATTCCTTCCTTTTTTTTGATGTTTTTCAATATTATACCCACAAATCTTGCAATATTACTAGCCAAGTCTTGACCCTTTTCTTCAGTTCCTTCAGGATGAGAAATACTGAGCATGTTCTTCCCTTTTGGTTTTCTAACTCCAGGTCTTTGCATATCTCATTATAATACTTTATCTTCTCAAGATACCCTTTAAGTTTTTCTGTTCAGTTCTTTTACTTCCTCATTTCTTTCATTCACTGTAGCTTCTCTACACTCAACAGCAAGTTTCAGAGCCTCTTCTGACATCCATTTATATCTCATTTCTTTTTTGTCTTTTTAATGGCCTTTTACTTTCTTCATGAATGATGTTCTTGATGTCTTTATGGTCTTCAGTCATTAGTGCCTAATGCATCAAATCTGTTCATGAGATGGTCTCTAAATTCAGGTGAGGTATACTCAAGGCCATATTTTGGTTCTCATTGACTTGTTTTAATTTTCTTCTGTTTCAATCTGAACATGCATATGAGCAACTGATGATCTGTTCCACAGTCTTCCCCTGGCCTTGTTTTGACTCATGATATGGAATTTCTCCATCATCTCTTCCCACAGATGTAGTCAATTTGATTCCTGTCAAATTGGTGAGGTCCATGTGTTGTTTAAATTGAATAAGTTATCAATTGCTCTTGCAAAGTTTTGTCATGTGATCTCCAGCATCATTTCTATCACTAAGACCATATTTCCTAAATTCTGATCCTTCCTATTTATTTCCGATCTTCACATTCCAATCTCCAATAATTATCAATGTGTCTTGATTTTATGCTTGATCACTTTCTGACTGAATCAGTTGGTAGGGTTCTTCAATTTCATCATCACTGGCTTTGGTGATTGTTACATAAATTTGAATATTAGTGGTATTAACTGGTCTTTCTCTTAGGAGTATAGATATTATCCTATTACAGACAGCATTGCACTTGAAGATAGATCTTGAAATATTCATTTGGATGATAAATGTGATGCCATTCCTCTTTATTTTGTTTTTCCTGGCTTAGTAAGGCATATGATTGTCAGATTCAAAATAAACCAATACCAGCCCATTTTAGCTCAATTATGCCTAGGATATATTTATTTATTCCATTTCATTTTTGAGAAGTTTTAATTTTCTTAGATTTATACTTTTTACCTTCCACATCCAAAGTTTTAATGGATTTTGCAGTTGTTTCTTCTCATTTTGTGTTGTGTCCCATCACCAAATGAAGGTCCCAAAAGCTTTGCTCCATTCAAGTCATTATAGGCCACTCTGAGGAGGCAGCTCATTCCCCCATCGCGTTTTGAGTGCCTTCCAATTTGAGGGGCTCATCTCCTGGCACTGTATGTGACAATGTTCTACTGCTATTTATAAGGTTTTCAGTGGCTAAACTTTAAGAAGTATTCACCTCTCCTTCATCCAAGTCAGTCTTAGTCTGGAAGCTCAGCTGAATCCTGTCCACTATGGGTGAATCTGCTGGTATTTAAAACACAGATTGCATAACTTACAACATCACAGCAACGTACAAGCTATCACAGTATGACAAACTAACAAACCAGTGGTGGAGCATCATTAGATATTGAAATTAAACATTAAACGTAATTAAATATTGAAATTAAACATTGAACGTGAAAAAAACTTTAGCAGAGTAAATAAATAAATATGATCCAACCCAATTATCCTTCCTTTGTTGTAGCTTTCTCTGGACCTCTATCACACAGAAGATGATATCTACAAACTGTCTCTGGTGCTGGAACCTAGGAACTCTAAGTCTGTGAGTATTGTTTTCTCTCTAAAGATTGGTGTCAGATAGCATTGCTTGTCATTTACAGTAATTGGCCATAACAATGAGCTTTTATATTAAAAAGATTAAAGACTTTTAATAATCTTTATTATTTCCATTTTACTGATGAAACAGCATATCCCTGGCAGTTTGTAATTGTTTCTTCATATCAGAGACTATTAAGAGGAAGAATATTATTTCCAATTACTCTGTTTTAGTGATCTTCTGTATATTACAGTCTCTCAAAGAACTCATCTATGTATAGAATCAAAAAGAAATGTAAACAAGAACTGTTAACTTAGTATCAGGAGTCCTGTAGGATATAAGCACTGGACTGCTAATCAAAAGATCAGTGGTTCAACCTACAAACTGCTCCTTGGAAACCCTGTAAAGGTTGCTATGAGTTGGAAACAACTCAAGGGCATTTAACAACAACAACATCATCTTTGTATTAAAGATCATTTGTTGTTGTTAAGTGCAGTCGAGTTGGTTCCAACTTATAGCAACCCTGTATAGGATTTCCAAGGTGTGGCTGGTGAGTTTGAACCACCATCTTTAAGGTTCAAATAGACCTTGCACCCCAGTGCTTATCCTACAGTGCCACACCAGGACTCCTTAGATCCTCCTAGCCTTAAAAAGTTTTTTATTCAAAATAAAATTAAATATTTTTATTTTATGTACCCTGGATTATAATTCAGACATATTTTTACTATCGAATGACTCAGTTTAGAATTTCAGTGTCATATTTCAATCTTATGAATTGATGGTGGCCTGTTAGTAAATAATGATGTTGAGGAAATTATGTCATTGAATGTACAATGCTTATTTGTTGTAGTGAGTGGACTATATTTTAGATATATTTTATAATAATAAAAATATCTGGAAAAATTTGAAACTTATAAGGAGGATAAAGCTGACATGTTGAAGGAAAAAAATGTCTGTTTGCTGCCTTATACTCATATCATGTGATCTGTTGCCTTATAAAACTATCATCCACAAACTCCTTATCAATTGAACTATGTAGCACATTGTCTGTACTCTAGACCCCAAATTTGTCAATCTATTAATGTCGACTGTGATTTGAACCATGGAAATGAAAGAAACAGAATGATAGGGGAGGTATAAAGGCATGAAGTGGCTGGCATACAAGTTTTCAAGATGAACTTTAATTTCAGAGCAAAGAGGGGAAGATAGAATTCCCACTTAGTTTTCATCTTGTCTAGATGGGTATGGTGAAAGATGGGGATAGGATTTTTTTGACTCAATAGTGAGTAATTGTTGTCATGACTAATTGTGATTGTCAAAACTGTAAAAGTAGAAGTTGATAACAAAAAGGGGGGGGGAATAGTTAATCTTACATTTCAGGAACAGAGAACCCTAGGACCATCAAGAGGGAAGAACAAAAGTGGAATGCGAAACCCTAACCAGAGAAGCAGAGATGTCAGAGACAGAGGCAGAGGTGTTGGTATGGAGAGATAGAGCACCTGAGGACTCTAGACTCTTGGAAAGAGAAGGGCTATGTGCTGGCGGGCATGAGGCTGGTTTACAAAATGTGCCCTTTGGTTGTTTAAACGATTGTATGCATATTCCTGGATGTTTTTGTGTACATTAAAAAAAAAAAAAAAAGGAAATATAGGCAAATACTGTTACCCAATGATGCATGGAGAAGATTGTAATCATTGCAATGAAACAAAATACAATTGGTTGAATGCAAACTGACTTTCTACAACGTAAATGGTCACTTAAATCATAATAAAAGCTTTAAGAAAAAAGAAAGAAAGAAAGAGACAGAATGACTTTGAGGGCCATTCTCTTGCCCTTGAATCTGAGTCAGTTAAGTTGGTAACATTTGTTCCCAGAATAATGAATGTGGTGGTCCCTAGAGGACCATCTCCTGGGAACTCTCCAGAATGAAGCCTTGTAAGAAGATCTGACAGGTTGACAAAGGGAGGAATGGGGACACAGACTTTTCAAAGTTAGCATGACTAAGAGAGCCTAAGGAGAAGCAAGGTTTTCAAAAAAAAAAAAAGTAACATCTGTACTCCTCCCTCATTCCATAGCTGTGGTGTAATAAGCCTGAAAGAAAATGTGACAGTACACAGTATGTGCACTCACGGCTTTTGCACGTCCCTGCCATCTTCATTTACCTAAATCAGACACCTTTATTCCTACCTGTAGTTGGACACCTAGGAGGACATAATATTCATGTTATCTCATTGACTGTTGAGAAAACTGAGTGTGGATCACACAGGCAGTGAGTAGGAGAACAGGGATCTGATCTCAGGCCTATCTGTCTTCATCCAGTGTACCTGTCACATGATCCTGTGTCATTTTCCCACCATTGGGCATATCCACAACAGGATGGCAGTGAACATTTTAGAAGACTTCTTTGTGCCTTTCAAGACTAATTTTATCCTAAACAGGGTAAATGTTTCATCAACTTTAGAAGAAGTTCCCATCAAATACAGGCTCTCTGCTTCCTCAAAGATTTAAAGCCTCGGAAACCCTATACAGGGTAGCTGTGAGTCCAAATGGACTCAATGGCACTTGACAACAACAGTTTTCACAGCATGCCCAAGTACTAAAAGTCTGTGAATCTTAGAAAACACATTTCCCAAAGCCTTTCTTGCCCAGTACTATATCAAACTCTATGTTCACGTGGCACCTAGAATGTCATACTGGTTTTTTTGTTTTTTTTTCATGGCATGATTATATCTAAATAAATATGAGGTTGTTGTTGTTGTTGTTAAGTGCCATCGAGTCGGGTCTGACCCATAGTGACCCTGTACAGGGTTTCCGAGAATGTAAATCTTTACGGGAGTAGAAAGCCTCATCTTTCTCCCGCGGAGCGGCTGGTAGTTTCGAACCGCTGACCTTAAGGTTCGCAGCCCGATTCGTAACCACTACGCTACCAAAAAGTTTGTGGAAAATGGAATTAAAAGATAATGGAATTTTTCCATAAACTTTTTGGAACCTTCATACCTAACAGTTCCAGTAAAAGAATAATTAGGTCCAAGTAACATAATAAAGGAGACCTGGTGTGGTGCTGTGGGGTAATGCACAAGACTGCAACTTTTACACATACAATTCAGTTTGAGCTCATTAGCCATTCCTTGGAAACCCTATACCGAGTCACTATAAGTTGGAATCAACTCAACAGTATTTAACAACAAAACAACAACAACAGCATAGTAAATATTTATGTTCTAACAGCTTAACACTCACTAGGAAACTATTACACACATATTGAAAGAAAAAAGTATTTTCATAGGATTCTTCAGCATAATCACCTGCTGGAAGATGTCTGTGCCCATTGGACTCTGTACAATTTCTAAATATTAAAATCAGGTTGAACCACACTAATTTTTGTTTCACAAAGATATGGTGTCACAACCCAGTCTAATGGACAAACTGTGACTGTGTTAAGCTAGCAGTTCAAGCAGTATCTGCCTGACAGATATTGAGTATTACGTTTTTCTTGGAAGCTTGAAATATCTTGTGCGATCCCTGTGAGTTTGCTGCAATGCCCCATGGCATACTGGTGTACACTTTGGGAAACCCACTAGAAAGCTCTCTGATATGTACATGTGTGTGTATGCGTGTATGTGTGTGAGTATGTGAAGAGGTGTTGTATATGTAGTGTGTGTATGTGTGAGAGTGAATGTGTTTTTATGAAGTATGTGTGTGCGGTGTGAACATAAATCCACACTGCAGGTAATTTTTGGTCCTACTTTTAGTTTTCAGGATACTATTAATACTGTGCTCATGATATTGTTCAAGAGTTAAATGACTACAGATACTCCTAACTACCATACTTCTCACTCTATGAATATTTGCTACAAACTCTTGCAAAAATGATTGTTTTCAACTTACTATCAAATTTAAAAAGCCTTCGAATAGAAGTTTGCAAGCATGTATTAGCAACCAACAATGCTTACCCTGATGAGGGCCCCAGCAAGAGACTAGAAAATGATCATAAGTCTCCATTGTGCATTATTGCCTTTATATTCCCCACGTTATTAATTACAAGCATCTTGCAATAATGTGGGGAAAAAGCTATGGGGGAAACAAGTCTTCCAGAGGACTGTGGTTACTAAGTGCCATTGAGTCTGTTCTAACTCATAGTGACCCTGCATATGGTTTCTGTGTAGCAGCTGATGGGTTTGAACTTCCAACCTTGTGGTTATCAGTCCAGTGCTTATCCTACAGTGCCATTCCAGTATTCCTCCAGAGGACTTGTTGTTGTTGTTAAGTGCTATCATGTTGGTTCCGACTCATAACAACCCTGTTTAGGGTTTCTAAGGAGCAACTGGTGGTTTTAAGCCACTAATCCTACAGTTAGTAGTCCAATGCTTATTCTATAGTGCCACGCTAGGCCTCCAGTAGACTAACGATTACCAGAAAAATCAGAAGGGATTAAGCATATTGAGAGAGTGAAGGTATAAAGACATAAACTTGACAATCCACTAATTGCATCTACTGTACATACCCACCAATTAATTCATCTCCAATATCAAATGTTAACCAATTACATAACTGGTGTTTTATATGTTTGCATTATGCAAAACTACCTAATGTACTGTTATATGTGTATTACAAGATGTGATAGTGATATTTGAGAAAGCTGGATTGAAATATTTTCCTACTTAAATTATTGTATTTTTAGGATAAATGCTTTGCCAATTTGGGAGTGAGGCTGCTGTCAAGCAAAATGCACTATTCAAACACGCATTTAATGATGGATTAGATTCTATGTACAAAAGCTGCCTGTGTTTCAGAAACATATCAGTGCTACATAAGTGTTAATGTTCATTGTTCATGTTAATATTCAAAAGTTATGTTTTTTTTCACTGTCCCTGGTCCTAATTGTTCAAGGCCCCAGTTAATATTCTAAAATGTGCGTGTTCACTGAGTTTCAGTTAAAAGTGGTGGGATAATTTAGATATGGATAGTGGTTGGTTGGTTATGTACTATGGAGTCGATTCGACTTATAACGACCCTATACAGGGTTTCCAAGGCTGTAAATCTTTATGGGAGCAGAAAGCCTCATCTTTCTCCCACAGAACAGGTGGTAGTTTTGAACTGCTGAACTTGTGGTTTGCAGCCCGATTCGTAACCACTACGCTAATGGAGATAGTAGCAAAGCATGATGAAGGTAACCAATTGTCACTACATTGTACATGTAAAAGTCATTGAATTGACAAGTGTTTTGTTATATATTATATTTGTAACACAGAGAAATGGTGTGTGCTTTCTCTCAGCAGCCTACCTCCCCTACAACACCCAACAAGCCTGTGGTGCCCTTGGAATGGGCATCAGGAGTGATGCTGAAGCCAGACCCCACGGTCATCAACAAGCACATAAGGAAATTGGTTGAGGTAAGTGAGAGGGAGTAAAAAATTTCTCTTCAGAATATTCTGAAACTCCCCAGGAACAAGATGGTAGCCATGCCAACAGCCCTCTTGCATGTTGGAGCAATTTAGTAGATGTTGGCGCTCTACCTGGCCTTGGCTTCTACAAGAGGAACATCTATAATAATGGCCCCCTTTCCTTCCCTTTCAGGCTTTCCTCACTTATTCAAATACTTTCAGGTACTTTCAACTCTTCCCCTTCCAGGCATTTAACTCCTTTGTCACTTCCACTGCAACACATAGGGTTATTGGGGGCTTAGAATCACATACTAAAAGCCCACATAGGTCCCAATAAAATACATGACAAATTGATGACTCTCAGCAGGAAGACTCTATGAGTTAGATAGTTTCTCTTACCATATATATTCGTGGCTAGTGACATAGCAGCACAATATTGTTAAAGTCAAAAAATTACAGTGCAGAATAAGACTTTGTTAGAGCTTTCTACAATAAAACCTGTGAACGCCAGAATCTGTATAAGGCAGAAATATGTCCAAGAAGGAGAGCTCAAATATTTTCTAATAGCAAAGAGTGATAAAAAAAAAAAATCATAAGACTGCAATAGCAAAACGATGGAGACAGTGTAAGTGTCCATCAACTGAAAAATGGATAAACAAACAGTGGTACATATACACAATGGAATATGATGCTACCTTGAAGAATAACAGGAAGCTGCAAGCCACCGCATAACATGGATGAACCTTGGAGACATTATGTTGAGTGAAATTGTTGTTGTTGTTAACTGCCTTTGAGTCGATTCCGACCCACAGCGACCCTGTGTAGGGTTTCCAAGGAGCAGCTGGTAAGCTTGAACTACTGACCTTGCAGTTCAAATGACTTTGCAGTCTGGTGCATTAGCCCACAGCACCACACCAGGACTCCTGAGTGAAATTAGTCAGTCACAAAAGGAGAAGTACTGCATAGGACCACTACTGTAAAAGACTAAGCAAAAGAACCTATACTACAGGGGGAGGGGATTCTTTGCTGGTTACTGGGATGTGGGAAGAGGGATGAGGGGAGGGAGCTGAAGGTGCAGCACAGGGTAGGGAATAGACACAGGATAGTTTAGGTGCTAGAGAGGTGGGGCAATACATAAGAAGGGGGAAGGGAATGGAAGAACAAAACAGACAGGAAAACAATTAGGCAGGTTTGCATGCGCTGAGTGGGACAGAGGTAAATAATGATGTATGCACAACCTTGGAACAACAGGGCTCTGGGATACAGGGATTGAGACACGGTTGGAATGGGGAAAAGGGGAGGAAATGTTAAAATGGGTGTCTTTTGAATCTTGGTTTCCCTGGCATACCATTATAAAATAGACACTTGAGGGGAAGAGAAAGGAATAGTCAGAAATATCACCATAGAATGCTTGTAAGTCCGTCTTCTGCCTATAACTTATTGGAACACCTAAAATGGGGCTACAACATGCCCAGTGAAGGAGGCTTCCTGCGGAGTCTCTGCATTACATAAGACCATAGGTGGAATCCTGAACCGCATCCAGAATCTTCTGAGGTGGGAAATTTCCACTTGAAAGGACAAGCAGACCAGCCTGGAGCCACTAGAAAACCAGAAGACACTTCTTGAAAGAAAAACCTGACAGGAAAAATACAAAACAATAAAAGCAGTCTGACTGATTACTACAAGAACAAGCAGGTTGCTTGCCTAGCAGACATCAGGGCAAGTGGTCAGGTCCTGTCAGGGCAAACCCCCTTCCAAGACTCAGACTCAGTGGGAATACACACTCTAATTGGTGACCACGTTCATCACTGATAAGGGGAAATGAGGGAAAAACAGTAATGAAGCTACGAGCTAAGCCCTACAATATTGAATAGACTCCTGTGAACCTGGGTGGAAACCTGGTTGGCCAGCAGTGTGGCAAGACTTGGGGACTCTTGGGCCCAGAGTCAGTGACTTAGCCACAGAGGACTAGAGTGGAGAGTGAAGCATCCAGCTTCACATCTTATACATTTGTCCTCGCTTCATCCAGAAGCGAGGACATATGCATAAGAACACCCATTGCAGATAATACGCACTTGACCTGGCTTCAATGACTGGATAATCAGAGCTCAACTAGAAGAAGAAAGAAGAGGAAAAAAGAATAATCTGATACAATTTGATGAACTTAACCTACACTTATGGATGCAGTAGCTCAAAAGAGAGAACAAATCTTTACAGCGAGGATCATTCCCATCCCCATCCATACACAGAGTAGACAGGGATGGGCAACTTGGACATTGGCTACCCCAAATGGGGGGTCTACAAAGGCAAGAAGTGACTGACTCACAAGCTTTCAAGAGGGAGCCTAGATCCAGAGGGCATGGAGGAAGGTAGAATCTCCATTGAGTAGTATACAATCTGTCTGGGCGGGGCTGATGAAAGGAAATGTGGATAGGTCTCTTGTGATACAATAGTGAATACTTGTTATCAGGACTTACTGTGAGGGTTGGAAATGTAAAGGTAGATATTTTGTAGCAAAAGGAGGGGAATGATTAACTTTGCAGTATAGGAGCGGAGGTTCCTGGGACCATCAAGGGAGAAGAGCAAAGAGCAGGACCCTACCCAGAGAAGCAGTGACACTAGAGATGGAGACAGAGATGATTATGTGGAGAGATGGAGCAGCTGGGGACTTTAGACCCAGAGAGGGAGAGGGGCTGTGTGCTGACGACTGGTGGACAGGCTTGTAGTGTATACCCTTTGCTTGGTTGATGATGCATGGAGGGGATTGTAACCATGGCAATGAAACAATATACGATAGGAAGAATGTAAAACTAATGTTCTCCCATGTAAACTATCACATAATTCACGATAAAACATTAAAAAACATAAGACTGCATCCTGTCAAAGGTGGAAAACTTGTGGAACATGGAAAAGCAAGGCAATCCCCTTGAGTTCTGGTCCTCACATGTTTCACTATAGGTAGACAGAAGAGTAGAATACTAAAGTGGGAGAAATGGAAACATCTCCAGCCGTAGAAACTGTGATCCCTGATAAAACACCTTCTTTAACGGAGCATTACATCTTCTGGAGGAGTCCTTGTGTGGTGCTGTGGGTTAATGTCCTGAACTATAAGGATATTTTGAACAGCAAGCTACTCAGTTTAAGCTCATTGGCCACTCCTCGGAAACCTGGGTTGCTGTGAATTGGAACCAATTAGAAGGCACTTAACAACAACTGACCAAATAAGATTTGAGTCTTTGGGAAATAATGTATTTTCATGGTACATGTTGGATAATTCAGGCAACTAACTATGAGATGCTAAAAGAAAAGTTCTGGAGCATGTGAAGCAGGAAGGAAAAGATTATTAAGGGGTAGTGTGGAGAGGATATTTGGTGAGGGAAACGGCAGAGAAGATAGGGTCCAAAGCAGGCAAGGTGATGATGGAGGAGCAACAGGAAAGGCAGGGGACCTCAAGGAATGCAAAAATGGAGATGCAACTCAGAAAGTTCTGGAACTCGGAAATGAAATATTACATATCCTCTCTCCCACTCTAGTCTGCTTTTCTCTGAGTGCTCATTCCATTGCAGACTAGTTTTCTGTGCTCACCATTTACAGCGGGACTCTCAGCCTATTACTCTCTGTCTCTGTCTGTCTTTGTTTCCACTCTCTGTTCCCTTCTCTCTAATTTCAGTTTCATGAAGCAGGGACTCAGATTGGCCCTCTTTGGGAAATTGCGTACTGCTGGTTTAGTCAAATGAAAGACTGGGTTTTATTATTGTTGTTGTTGTCAGGTGCCATCGAGTCGGAACCGACTCATAGTGACCCCATGCACAGCAGAACGAAACAATGTCCGATCCTGGGCCAACCTCACTACCACTGCCACACTTGAGTCCATCAA